TTAAAAATACCATAAAATTAGTATTAGGTATGTCGGGTGTGCACATACATAATTCTTTAATAAGTTTTTTTTTAACAATTAATCAAGGAGCAGCACAACCTAGGTTGGTGGCCTGCTGGTCTGTTGGGTCAGTAAGCCTGTGCTTCCCAATGGAAAATGATCTGTGGTTTTGCAGTAGAGCTGTCCAATATGCTTTCACAGTAAATGAAAAAATGAAAAGTTGAGTAATGGCCCCAATGTTTGAAAGTGTCTAAAGTGTAACTATGTATGGAATTGAATGCTTTTAAAAATTCACTCCTTTTCAAACAAATCTCAGGTACAGATTTGCTTATTTGCTGATTTCTTATTGCATTAATTTGCTTATTTGCTGATTTCTTGTTGCATTAATACTTAGTAACGAGTTGTTATGTGATGGAAGAAAGCCCAGCTGACAAGACCTCCAGAGCACATTTACCTTTTCCCTTTTATGCCAGGTCTGATTAATGCTCTATCTCACTGGACTAAATGCTTTGGGGGAAGATCATTCAAATATATACTCAATTCTCTTATTAGTTTAAGAGATGCAGGATTTATAATAGTCATGCTGTTCCCACATAGTGATATTTAAATTATCGTTTGTGTGCTGCTTAAGGCATTTCAATTGGTTTTGGACTACTGAATGGAATGATATAAAATTAAAGTTTGAAATTACCCCTAGAAGCCTACAATTAGCAGGCATCCACAAGAGAACTAGGCAACAAGAGTAAATCATTATTTTCCATGAATAAATTTACTTTTCTTAATTTCATGCCATTAAAGCACATAAATAAGTTAAATACCTTCGTCCCAATTTGTATCTACCATCTTATCAATGATGATTTAGAACATGATTAACCAACTTGAATTTTTTAAAAGTGCTGGCATAAATCAAAAGAAGGCTGTTGGTCATCCTTAATGATTTTTACAGAGAATTGCCCACATTATTCTATATAATGAAAATGTGGACAAAATCAAAGTAACATTTTCCCTTAGATCACATAATACAAACTTCTTTATCTATTTGGTATGATTGGTAATCCTTTTTGCCTAAAGCTTGCTTACAAATTTATGATAATTTTAGGTTCCCACCATCTTTTCCTTATAGATCTTAAAGTCTCCAGAGAGAAGTATGATATTCTAAAATATCCTATACAGTTAAGTTGTTATCATAAAATATTATGAAGTTGACTCTATGTTTGAGCATGCTCTGATCCATCTTATTTGTGGAAGGAATAAAGAGACAGAGGTGATGAAGAGGGGTAAAGAAAACAGAAAGAATTGGAATAAATAAATAAAAAGCTTCATGTGAGAAATTCAGTTAGGACTCATTTGATGGGAAATGCATCTTAGCTCATCTTTACTGAAAATTCCAGGGATCCTTGGCCACATGTATCCAGTCTTTTTCTCTGTACCTAATTGTCCTCACCTACATAGAGTTAGAATAAGCCTGTGAGCTTCATCAAAACAGAGATCTCATCTTATCTATCTTTGTGTCCTTTGATCTTAGCACAATGCCTGGCACATAGTGAGTACTCAGCCTCAAACTGTTGGCTGATCTTGTGATGTCTTCTTCAAGGAAGTCTTCTTTGGTCTTCCATCTTGCAGTACAAGAGCAAGTATCTATATTTGTATGTGTTGAGGGGTGGTTATTTTCATTAATAAATTATAATACCATCAGCATAATAGTAACACACTTAGCTAGCACAGAGACTTTATCCTCACTGGCATAAGTTGTTAACAATTATTTCTCCCAGTGAACAGAAACAGAATGAAGCATTCACTTTGGCAGTATCTGACATCCTCTCTCTGTACTGTCTTCCATTTCCATGTTATTACTTTTCTGCCTGAGCGTCTCTATCTAATGCTCTATCCCCCTGCTTATTAAGAGGAAATTATTTTTCTCCTCATTAATTGATCCTTAAATGTAAATTGGCTTGCACAGGTATTTGCAGTTTAATCCTTTAGTCTTTATAAGGAATGAAAATCTTATATTCCTCTAATAGAGATTTTTGGTTAAGGAAATGCAAAAGATTGACAGAAAGACTAAAAAGATACTTTATATTTGGTGTTGTTTAGGGTGATGAGTTTTGTGCTTGCATGAATCACATTTATCATAAAGATAATTAAGCAAATATTGTGTCTTCCCTACCATCTCAATCTCCATAAACACTATCTAGAACCCCTTCAGCACACTGAAATAAAGTCTCCAGGCATGGGCATGAACATTGAGTAGGTTCCGTTGCTATACCTATTTGTACTCTCTCTGTTGAGAATAATTGTACAAGATTCTGTTTTTATGGAATATTATATAGTCTCAAAATTGTCTTGAGGAAAATAGTACTAACGTGCAGAGGAGAGAAAAGTATTTTAATCGAGGTCACAAGGCTAGTATTTGCGAAACAACCAGAAATTGAATCCAGCTCAGTGGGATTTCAAACTCATTTTTTTCCCCCAGTACAACTGTCATCAAAATACAGTATCACTAAAAATCAGAGCCTTACAGTAACACCCTTCTAATCAATGGAGATGATGGCTGATGGCCGGAGTGGCTTTATCAGTCAGGGACCCAGGAAGAAAAAAGGAAATACCTAACAGGGTAATAATTTAAGAGAACTTAATAGCAGTGGTTTACCAGAGTGTGAACAATTCCCTGGTCTTAATAATGACCTACAAGCCTGAAGTGTGAGCCTTAATGGAATTTGAGAAGAAGGGTGAAGAGGAGGAAAGGGGAGGAAGAGAAAGCAGAGGATAATTGAGAGCTACTTGATAGATCTGGACTTCTTGTACTAGCAACACAACTATAATACAGCAATCCCAGGAGTGGGGTGGGGTGAGGGCATTGTCTGGCTAATCTTGCCATTGGCCAAATCCACCTAGAAACCAGAAGGCCAAGAGCCTAACAAATACCATGTCCATCAGCCCCTCAGGACACAGGAGGGTGGACAGGGACCTTGGTCAGTCCAGAATTGTTAACAATGTACCTTTCTACTCCTTTCCTCAGCTTCAATGTCCCATCCTCCCTGACAGAAGAAATGAAATAAAAATTGGCGAGATTCAAGAAACAACAAAAATCCAACAATAAATTAAAAAAATCCATAGCTCCAAATCTACAAAAAAATGTCTTAGTGTACTTTCTTCCTAAGAAGTCTTAAAAATTAGCATTTATTCTAGTTTTACTGGATGGCAGATGAAGTAAGTTTGAAATATTGGTTAAGACCTTTCTCATTTGCTTTGAGGTGGTTTCAGAAAGTCTTTTGGTAGGGTGTCCAGTTAATTGAGATACTGCTTACACAAAGAAAACTCCCATTTTTTTAAAATATGGAATTCCATCATTGTTGACAAGCAAATACAGTCTTCTAACCAGCTCCACAATCAAGATATGGAATCTCACTGCAAGAAGTTCTCAAGCTTTTTTGAAAACTTTAGTCCCACTTAACTCTTGTTGGTTCTCCTTTTACTCTTATTTATTTATGTATTTATTTATCTTTAAATGTGGGTCTGACTACATTTCCCAGGTTGATTTTGAACATCTTGAGTTCAAGCAATCCTTCTGCCTCACCCTCCCCAGGAGTTGGGACTGCAGGCATATGCTGCTGCAACTGGCTTTGTTTCTTCTGTTTTGAATAAGAAAATTTGTGATGGCAACCAGCCGCATGATGTACATACTACAAGTTTTCATGAAATATATCTGTTCATTTGTCTCATCGCTCTTATGAGTAAACTACCAATGTTGCTTGTTAACTCATGTGATATGTATTTGATTGAACAATCGTCCATAACTAGCTGCACACTGAAATCACCTGTAGCCACCAAATGACCCAATGTCCAGGTGGCTCCTCATGACATCAGGCATTCTGGATTGATTCCAGAGAATGATAAGCTAAGGCTTTCTAAATTATTCTACTTTTCAGTCAAGGTTGAGACCCCAAGAATTAGAAGAAATTTTCTCAATTCTGGATGCAAAGTAAAATACCCCGAATAATGTTTAAAGAACATTGATGTCTTCCCCCAGGCCCACTTACATAGCATGTTCATAAAAGTTGACTTAGAGAAAGGATAATCTGGACCCCTAAGATCTCTGAATAATTGGGCTCCATTTAATCAAGGTTTTATTATTGTTTGGGGTATGTGATAGTGCTCAATAAATGCTAGATGGATGTCCTAATCCCACAGTGGAGTCAAGGAAAATAAAATATGCTCCCTCTTGGAAATAAACTCTTGGCATATTTGAAATAATTATTTTGGCAAGCTAACATTTTCTGAAAACTGTCCTCTAGGTAATTTATTTCAAATGCTAAGTCTCATATTTTGGGAAAATACTATATTTCAACTATATACTTTCACCATAATATTAGGCCCATATATATATTATAGCACTTTCATAATTCTCTCTGAGAAAATAGACAGGAAACAAGATTAAGAGACTGAAGGTAAGATTTAAATCAGCCTACCAGCTGAAGTATAAATGATGCTATTACACCTCTGAGCTGAGAGAATACCTCTACTTTGTAAAGTAGAGCAATGGTACTTTCCTGTTTTATAATAGCAAACTGTATGCACCAAGGACACCACCTGTACAGTGTCCTGATCAGAAACGAACCAAGTGTCTAATGAAACAAATATAAAACTAGCATGATACTTACATATGATATTTTTTTTCAGATCTCAGGATCTTCTAACTAAAATAACAAAAGTCTTTTTTACAGCATAAAGCTACTGATGATTTATCACGGCACAAAGGCTTATTAAGCAAACCTCACAAATTTTATTATTATGAAATATTAACAAACATGATACATGTTTCAATGTATACTTAAAGCTGCAAGGTTTGGGGTATATAATATCTCAAAGGCTGGCTACTACAACAAATAGCATTCTTTATATGATCAGTGTTCTTCATTTAAAATAGAAAATACAGTGCTTATTTAATTTGACCTTCCAATTTATTCAGTTGTTCTGATCCATTTTTTTTTCCTTTTTAGGACCACCTCAGAAAATAGTGTCACCTAAACAAGAACACGAAGACAGAAAACACGACAAAGTGACAGATAAAGGAAGTGAAAGTGGGACTTCCTGTAATGAGCTCTCTACTTCCAGCTGTGACAGCCACTCAGAGGCCAGCACTCCCCAGGACAACCCGCCCAATGCCCAGCAGGCTACAGCTCACCAACCTAACACCTTAACATTGGATCGTCCCTCCAAAAAAGCCCCTGTGCAATGGATGCCCCCACCTGATAAACGCAGAAACAGTGAACTCTTTCAGACACTCATCAGCAAGTCCCGAGAAACAAATCTTTCCAAAAAGAAAGTCTGTGAGAAGCTAAGTGTGGAAGAAGAAATGAAAAAGTGTATTCAAGATTTTAAAAAAATCCACATTCCAGATTATTTCCCAGAGCGCAAACGCCAATGGCAATCTGAACTCTTGCAGAAGTATGGGTTATAGTGATGATCACATCCCTTGGGTATTTCGATGACATTTGATGTTTACTAGTGTCGCCACCTGACTGATGGTCAGTGTGATTCTTGCTGCTCTTCCTTATTGTGAACAGTGGATGTGGGACAGTATTTTTTTTTCCTTTTTTTCTTTTTCTGGTGGTTGTTACTTTTAGAAACCATTCAAAAAATGAATCCAATAAAAGTTGCGTCAAAATGGTGTATCTATCAGATTCAAATCGTGTTGCAAGAATGAAAGTAAAATGTGCATGATCAAGAAGCTTAGAATCTTGATTTTTGAACTGTGGTCAACTGGACATGCTTGTCATTTTGTAACTTACCAAAAACAAATCATCATATCACACCAACTGAAATGACAATATGGATGAAGCAACATCAATTAAAATTTCAGAGGATGGTTTTAATATCCAAATCTAAAACTGTTTAAATGTCAGTGCAATAAAACAAGTATTATTTTTTTGCATGAGCACAATGTTACAAATACATTACAAGAAATAGGGAAGATCTGTGTGTTGCTTGGAAAGAAAAAAAATTATAAAATATTAAGCAAAAAAAAAAAGTTTCAGGCAAAGCCTATAAATGTAAGCTGTCTAGGAGATTGAGTTTTCTTTGTTCTGGATATGTGTTTTTGTTTTTTTTTTTTAATGTGTATGTGTATGGTATTTCTGTATGTTAAGATGGTGTAAATATGCCTTATACTATTGTGTTACTACATTGACATTCATCTATTAATGCTAGTCATGATGATTTCTGTGAAACGAGTATTTTACATCAGGCTGTAAAAATCGGTATAATGATGGTCTGAAAGATCCTATTATCATGTTATTCAAAATAATTGAGGGAAATGGTAAAGAGCTTTATGTATTTATTAAAAAAAGGAAAATGTATTAGAATTCCTTGATTTCTATTGTCTCTTCTTTTAAAAATATTCAATTGTTTTATTGTCTTCAACTTTTCTTTAAAACCCCATGTTGAATGGTCTGCTCAGACTTAATGTTGACAATTGTAAACATAATTCAAAATGAAGCTAGAGTTTAGATTCAGATAGGTTTGGTATTGATTAATAAATCCTTAGCCATGACAGAAAAAGACCTAATCTGAGAATACACTAAAATTTTATTTTTGCTGACAACCAGATTGGAAAACTCTCCAAAAAAATTGGGATGTTACCTCCTACAAATCAGAAGACAAAATGTCAATAGTATAGTAAAAGGTCAGCCTTTTATGAAAAGTGATTTCTTCCCCATTGATACAAGCTTTCTTATCATAAGCCACACAACTTTGCCTCACTGTGTCTTAGAAATGTATAATATCATGAAATTTTGCTAAAGAATAAGTCAAGAGAGGTAAGAATACTTTCAAGAATTATAGAACTCAATCTCTTCTGTGGTTAGCTAAAATGAAAATTTGAGCAATACATGTGGTATCATTACTTTTAGCATGACAGAATGAGATAAGCATTATCAACTCAAAGTTTTAAAAATATCTGCATTCATTTTTGGTTGTATCTGAGATTTCTCATAGTGCCATTATATAATATCACCTACAATCGGCTATTGAAGAAAACTAAGAGATATAATTTATTGTGAATTATCTATCAGGCTTTAAAAAATACGCACTCAAGTTCATGTGATCTGGGGAGGTTATGAGGCCCAGCATGGTTTGATACAGCTACAACACAGGTGAGTAGATAGAGCCAAATTTCAAATCCCATGTCTATCACTAATTATCTATGTGATTTAAGTGATAAGGGAATAATAAAGGAATAATAACATCATAAAGAAGATTTAAATGATGTAATTGAAATAAAGCATAACTACCCTTCATGGATCTGGGAAGAAACCGGGAGCTAGTGGTTTTACAGAATCCAGGAAGTAGCATCTTCCAATGGGGAATTTAGAATACAGAGGGACAAGCAGTCTAGTAAGAACTATAGCCCCTAAGGAGTCACAGTCACTTGCAAAGCAAAAGAAAAAGGGGAAATTACCCTAGCTTACCCTATATTTAATTTCCCATGGGTACCTTTGATATTCCCAATTAAAAAGAAAGTGTTGGCAAAGAAACAATGTAATTGTACACATGATCCCTTTTTGATACAAAGCCCCACAGCTAAGGGCAGAGAATCAATCTGAAAGGTACTCTTGCACTCTGGTCTTTTTTTTTCCTATACAAATGTTCAAGTAGAATAGCAATGCAAAGAATTATGTAACTCATCACTATTTCAGATCTTCTAAAAGAAGTGATGCCTGTGAGTTTGTCTTTATAGTCCTTGACAGATTTGAATAAAGGTTCTGATCCATGGGATGGAGATGTAATCATATTAGTTCTAATTTGTTAAGCACTTATTATACTCCAAATATTTGATGTAGAGGTCAACAACCTATTCAAGAAATACAAATTACTAGCTATTGCCCTTCAGAAAAAAACTTTCAGTGTGAATCTTTTAAAACATTTTATTATCACCAGACTAGAACCTGGCTTGCCTCAAGGGGATAAAAGGGAATAAAAAGAAGCATCTAGAACAGGGACTCTTTCTTGAAGGAAAAAGTAACACAAAAAAATTAAAGGTAAGTTTGGCTATAGTTGCTATGTAACACTTTCTTCCCAAAGAGGTGAGCTCTAATAATCACTAAAAGTCAGAAGCCTGGAAACAGGCTCCGAAGTTTAGTATTTAGTCTCCTCTACATGGTTTACCTTCTGTTAGGTACACAGTAGGCACTCAACTTATGACCTAATATATTTCTCTTACTAGTAATTATCTCCACTTCCCTTTACCTGACATAGCAGAGCAGGTATTATCTAAACATAATACTCTATTTTTGAGAAGAAAATCCAAGCACTGTATACCAAATTATGGATGCTCAATAAAATAGCACCATATCAGTTAACCTTTGTATTCACAAAATTTAGTAACTTTGGATAGCAATCATTTATCAACTTACAGTTCTATGGATTGGCAAGCTGGCCTAAGATCAGCTGGGCTGTTCTCCCAATGATCTTTGTATAAACTGACTTGGACAATGAACTTGTATTTGTCAGTGACTGAACAATCTGTAATGGCCTCACTTTATGTTGGCCACTGATGGCCTTTATTGATTCAGTGTGCCTGAGTCCTCCACGTGTCCTCTTTAGTAGTCCAGCTCAGGTTTAGACATATGCTACCACCTGTTCCAAGAGTGTGAGTCCAGAAGTTGTGTGGCCTGAGGGGACAAGGCTTCAACCACATGCAATATTACTTCCCCTATATTCTTTTGGGCAAAGCAAGTCATCTTTAAGGGGTTGGGACATATGCTCTTTCTCTTAATGGGAAAAGCACCAAAGAACTTGAAACAAATTGTACTCTACCATACATTCAACTCATCATTTCCAGGTTCACATCTAGAATTGAGTTCTTTGCACACCAGTTACTAATGATATGTACTCATACCCTTACATCATCACCAGCCACTACACCCCATAGACCAAAAACATAAATTTTCAATCCAAAAATTTATAAGTTTACTCATACTTCATACTTCAACTGAAATGAAACCTATTCTTAGAAGCTTTCCTTGATCCCTCAGGATAAAATTATTAATTATTCCACTCTTAGATATCTCAAATTACTTTAAAAATATCCTTGCTGTACCTGTCATTTATATTTTGCAATGAATGAGCATAATAATTACATTTTTTCCATTAGATTTAAACATGTCTCATAGACATGTAGACCTTACTTTTATTCAAACAGGAAGAAACAGTTTATGGCACACAGCAGGTATCAGTCATCTTGGCAAATGAATAAATACCATTTTTAGTGCAAAAATCTCATTATTAGTCCTTGATAAATTCCTATCTCCTATCCTGGCTAAAAGCCATTTTACTATGTTTTCAGTCCAAATCCCACTTATAGATTTTTGCATTGCTAATATCTCCTGGAGAGATTATTTAGAGGACTATTTTAAAACATATTTCATAGTTTATTTCAATTTTGATGAATGTAATTTTGGCTTCTAGAGATACAGTGACCAAGCCTGGACATTATTTCTTTTCTCCCACAGTGTGAACCTTTTTTGTTGGTATATAGTAAACATAACTTCTGATGTGGTGTACTAGTGTTTTTTAGTTTAGACTAGCTTTCTAGTTTGGATCAAACAAATATCACCAAAAAATTGTTATGCTCACTTAGAAAAAGAATGTGAGTTGGAAAATTTTCTTATAAAACTCTTAAATATCAAATCTTTTTTCTTCAAATGTATACTTTCCATTTCATAGTCCTAAAAAGAGTCAACTTGAAGCATAACAGAACACTAAAAGAATCTCACAACTGCAGGATTGAAAGATTCTTAAAACTCATACACATTTTTATAGAAATTAATTCAAAATGATCTATAACTATCCCTAGGGTACCTACTGTGATTGAGGGTTATTAAATACATCAAAGATACAAAAATAATAAAATTCCCAAGAACTTATAGAGTGCATTTTGATAAGATATATACACAATGCTTAAAGTACAGCGATGTTTGGGTATCATAAAAGCATAAATGTTGTTACACAGATTTAGAAGAAATGAAAGCTTTATGGTGGAAGTGAAATGTGAGCTGGGTCTTGTCAGAAAGGGGATGAGGATTTTAAAAAGGGGTACAAAGAAAGGGATAAATCTGTAAGTTAAAAAATGTAAGAAAACAAAGTTATTCTAGAAAAATTTTCACAAAAATATTACTGAGTGTTTTCATATACCAAATATGCATATATCATCCTTATGTTGAAGAATATATTAATGAAGACTATTTTAGTATTAGTCTTCATATTCAAGATTATATCTTATGAGTAAATTCTTTTTATACTTACCCAGCGTCTTTTGTCCAGGCTCCAAATGCAGCAGCAGGGTGCCAAAGTAGAAGCAAATTGAGTATTCTTTAGAATGTTTTTAAAAAGACTAAATGGAAGCTGATTAGTTCAAAATGATGACTAGATGCAAGTGAACTGGAACTTAGACTTGGAAATATTTTGGGAGGCAGGAGTATTTTAACACTGATATTGTTTTGAGATTTCAATGCAAGGTGATAATAAAGGCAAATTAACTGGTAGTTTTATTGGCATTTTAGTATAATCTACATTTGTTACCTGCATGTAGGGCCGATTGGTCCCATCACCCGTTCCTCATACACATAGTTTAATGCAGAAGACAGATAAGAAAACTGGTGATTTCAGAGAGTTGAACAAGCACCAATGAGCAGCACATGAGAGAACTACCCTGAATGTTACTGAAAGTTCAGATCTTGTCATTTTCCACTGCAGCTACAATAATAAAGAGTATACTGGTCTCTATAACTAATCTTTTCCTTCTGGCCCATTCTTCCTGCTGCTAGAGAGGTGATCTTCCTTCAATACACATTTTTCATATTACTTTCTTGTTGATTAAAACTTTTCATCTCATTGCCTACTAGAGAAAAAATTTACAAACTACTTCATATAACTAATAAAGCCCTCCACTTCTGTCTCCTCTCTTTAATCTTACCACTGTTTACTCATACAAAAGCACACACACCACATATAAAAACACACTTCAAATACACCCTTGTTCCTTCCCCTCCCACTCCCAGCTATTTATAACTTCTTGTCATCCCCAAGTAGAATTCAATAATTCTTTCTTTAGTTCACCAATATGTTTACTATGACAAGTACATAATTTGTTACCTTGTCTTTATGTCCTTCCTCTACCTCTTTTTTCCTAAAAATGAGGACGGTCAGCATAGTCCTCCTGTTCTATTTAGTGACAAAAACAAAGAGAATGGGGGTGAAAGGAAGAGCACACATTTCCTTTCTACCATATCTTTTCTCTTTCTCACCTGCACCTGCAAGGCAGAATGTGTAATAGAAACAGAATATTGCCATTTTGCAAACTCTA